TGTTAAGATATACAAATATACTTGTTAATATTTTCAATGAAAAATCAAAAGGATAATGTCACGCTTTCTGCCACTCATCAGACGGAGCTAGTTCCCTCGCTCGCGGGTTCTGACACGAACTCCATTTCCCAGACTCCTCAGCAAAGTCACATGACTCCGGAGAGATCCTCATCCTCCAATCATCGCTCAAGTTCACCTGAATACTAATGCTTTGCAGCTGTTTTAGATAATATTTAAGCCCGGGCTTTAGTTAGAATCTTTGCGAGGTATTGTTTTCTCTACGAAACTACTGGGGGTTTATTTCTTGTTTTCCTAGTTATGACTTTATTCTTATCGTTTTCTCTGACTTTTTTCTGACGTTATTTGGATTGGTGATTTTGACCCTTTGCTTGTTTTGTGGACTTCGACCTGTTTTGCCCTTGTCTGTTATGGTAGCCATTCTCATCTTGCTGTGTTTTCTGGAACTGACCCATGCTCGTTATCTGACTATGGTGCTCATCCCTGATTCCCCAAGTAAAGCTTCCTTTTTGTTTTCAAACCGCGAGCGTCTGCTTTCTGTTCATACGTTACAGATAAGCAATATAGATTTTTTTGGTGCCTGTTTTGCTCATTTTTACCAGGGGTGCCAATATTTGTGGAGGACATTGTCTGACAAAGTATGTAAAAAAAAACAAAAAAACATACTGCACTTAATTGTTTTACTTTTGTGGATAAGTGAGCAACTTCACTGCCCCTAGTGTGTGTGCTCACTAGTGTGTATGTGGTGTTTCACTGTTCGGATGGGTTAAATGCGGAGGAGAAATTTCCCCGTTGTGGGACTAATAAGGGTCACTTAATTAATCAAAAAGAAAGAAATGCAAGGTTTTGGAATAGTTAATAGTCAAATGAAATGCTGTGGGAGGATTTGAAACAGGCTGTAAATGCAAGAAACCCACAAACATTGCATAGTTGAAAGAATTCTGCATGGAGGAATAGGCAAAACTCCCAGTAGATGTCATAAACTGCCACAACTGGCAAAAAATCCAGAGGGGCGGTAGTTCATCCAAGTCAACAGAGGGGGTTTTACATCAGCAGATGCAATAGCTATCTGCAGGAATTCAAGTTAAATTTGCTGGGGTAACCTGGCCCAGACAAGTTGGCAGTGGTTTAAAAGTTGTACTTAATTTTTCCACAAGAAAACTGCATTACTGTTTATTTCAATCATATAAAAACCAAAAATGTGAATTCTAAGTGTCACTTGTTTTATCACCTTGATCTATCAGCATTGTTTAAATGAAGACTTGATATCTGTGTCTCCGAATATGTTGAAAGTGTCTGAACGTTTCATGGGGTGTACTTTCTACTTCACTTGACTGTATCAGGTGTGGTCAGAGCCACTAGGGCCACTCTACTTATTCCCTTAACCAAGCTATCTGTTTGTTACATAATAAAGGGATTAACCTCCCCGTACTTAAATATACTGAACCAGAACAAGAGCAGAAGAAGGATTCTAAAAAAAAACAAAAAAAAAAAACTGTGTATTTGTAAATATACTAATTGTACATGGGGACTATACAACTATTTACTAATAAAATAACCATACAGTCATATAGTAAAACTATACAACTATGTATAATTAATTAATGACTACAAAATTATTTACTATCTATAATGAATACTCAATAAGTGATTAAAGAGAAATACCAAAGAAATGGTGGAAGAGGAGGAATACACAAAGACAGAGACCTGCTGGAAAGAAGTGAGACTGAAGTGAAGGGAGAAGAGGTTGGACGTGAAGGGAAAAATGGACTGATGTGGATGCAGAGGAGGTTTATGTGAATGGAGAGGTGAGAAATGAAGGTTTAAGAAGAGAATAACAGTGCCAAACCAGCACCAAGTTGTGAGGCACTCGATGGCATGCTAATCTCTTTTTTCTATAGTGCACACTGTAACCTGTACACAGGAAAATTACAGAAAAAAATAACACCTTTGATAGTATTAAACCTTCAGTGTTAACATGACACAGAACTGTACTAAAAAGAATACATGCAGATGCAATGTTACATAACACTAGTGTTGTTGAAAATTTTGGGGGCATTTGGGACACCTTGGGGCATTTAACAACCCTGGTGTTTTTTTTGTATTTTGGCACTGACACCAGACGTTCTGTGACACTACTGTTTGACAGTCCAACACATGAATCACAGTGAATCACATTTAACTCTGAAAACACTATGTTAGGAACAGGTGCAACACAGAATCTGTTGTCCAATAAATAATTAAGAACATGCTGATGTTTTGATACAGTGTCAGTGCAGATCGCTGTATTAAATTTACTTTGCAGTACAAAGAACTACATAGCAAATGTAAAGCCAGTATAATATCATTACTGGAGCCATTCATTTTACACCAAAGTACAAATCAGATATTCTGCAAATACAACTTTGTTGTATAAATAATTAGGTGATATTAATGTTTTTGCCCCCCTTGTGCTACACCATGTCTAAACTCATGTACCTGGTGTGCAAACGTATTTCTGTAATCAGACATTGCCATAGTAATGATGATAGTGGACACAACCAGGAATGTTCCTGGTTTACTTTTGTAAAATGTACTTGGGTTTGAAAGGCACTACATATATTTAAGTAAATAGCAATTTATCAAGAAAAATTAAGATAATAAAAAAATTGATAATTTAAAACTAAATATAGAAAATTACTAAGTAATTATTTAAAATGATTATGAATTGTAAGCAGATAAGTAAACAATTAATATTTCAACTTGCATACTTTGTCAGCCATGAGTTGTGAGTATCAACTCTCTAAATCATTATAAAAAACTAATCAATCCTTCATCAATCAACCTTTACTTAATCTCGGAGAACATTGAGGACGACACTCATTTACAATTTTGCCGAGTTGATACTGAACAAGGGATTGATAATGTTAAGAACATATCAAATAATAAAAGTAAATTTAATAAAAAATGATTTAAATCAGGTAAGTATAAAAAAAGAAACATTAATAACAAAAGTACATGAAATACAGTAGAAAATATAAAACAATAATTAAAATGTAGCTAAAATGTAAAAGTCAAAATAAAATAAAAGGAGAATAAGATCAAAAAGTAAACTAAAATTAATTGAAATTACTAAAATAGTAAGTTAATCATAATTAAAATAAGTAAAAGAATGTGAATAATAATAAATAAACAAACAAATAAATAATAAAATAATGAAAATAAGACAATAATGATAAAAAATCAGGTAAAACAGTTGCAGGCAGAGTGGAGGTGGTTAGAGAGTAAAAGTTTAAAATGACCGAGTGGCACCAGCAAGCTGAGCTGTAGTGTTTCCTGTAGTGAGTTTCAGCTCGCTGGTGCACTGTAACTAAAAGCAGATTTTCCCAGTTCAGTATAAACCCTCAGTACCTGGTATGTGATCCAACCACTGGAGTGAATCTGATAAATACCATTATTTACAGACATCATTGAAGTAATATATTCTGGCATATGTTAAGGTTAATGATTACTGTGCCGTGCGCTCGTCTGTATTAAAATTTCGCACTTTGAAAAAACCATGCATGATTTCTTCACTTAGTGTAACAGATTCACTGAATAAAATATATTTCAGAATATTCTGTCAGATTAGTGCCGAAAGGAAACAGCTGTTGCAGTAACTATAAGTCATTATTTGAATAGGAAAGCCTAGAAAATATAAACTCTGGGCACCTTATAGAACAGAGGGGCAAGCTAGGTTACTTCCAGGCCACAGCTCTGCAGAGATCAGTGTTTTCCCTATTCTAATACTCACTTAACTGATGAAGGCCTTGCTAACTAGCTGATGTGTTAATCGGTATGTTTAATGAGGCAGAAGCCTAAACTCTGAAGAACTGTTGCCCAGAAAGAATTAAATTTGACATCTCTGTTCTGTTAAAGAGCCCAGAATTTACACTTTCTAAGTATTCCTATGTTTTTCATATAAATGCAAATGGCATATTACTATCAAACAAGATCTTGCATTATTGGTAAACACATAAATATGATAATAAATTACATTAGTGTGTTTTATTACATTTGGCAAAATTAAGAACATTTTAACCATTTTATTATTACTTTATTGAGGAACTATTACATACACAGAAGTTCTACAGGTTCTACAGAAGTAACTGTCCTTTTTTAGCTACAGTTAGAAGGAAATGGGATTAGTGTCAGAAAGGCCAAAACAATATTATCAATAGAGAAGCCATTTTGAACTCATAGCTTCAAATATTGCATGCAGAAATTAATTAGCCAAGGGTCTGAAAGAAGTTCAGGAATACTACATAAAATCAACATAAGCAAAAATTAATTCTGAAAAACATTATATTTCAAAGAAAAAAGATTCCATGCTCTGACAAAAAGGACATCCTCTTAGAAATTAACTTGCTGTGAAAATGAATTATAAAGCTTATTAGTGATATATTAATACTAAGTTATGATTTCAGCTCAATTCTGTCATTCTGCAATCATTTAAACTCAATATTATAGATGCTATTCAAAATCTGATATGGCAAACTTAAACTAAAAATTCATAAACCAAAAATATTAGTATTAAAATCTTGAAATTTTGCATGGCTGCATGTTTTTTTTTTTTTATTTTTCCATGAAAATCCCTAACATGACCTGCCAAAACCTAGGTGAGCTGCCTTGGACTAACCCACATGGTCTGGGTGCTCTAGATGAATGATAATAGAGGGTGCCTATACACTATCTAGTACAAGAAGAATTTTGTTGTAAATTCATACTTTATTAACCAAATTGAGGATATAATGTGGCTTGTCTCTATTAGTCTGTTTAATTGTTTTAAATCATTGATATTGCTATTTATTTAATTATTGATAGAAGGTATTCTGAACTATACTGTACTTGCTTTATACAAGGTGATAGCAACCATGTAAGAGTGAAATGTAGACATAGTTCCCTGTATTACACTGGTCTTGTGGAAATACATGAAACTGGCTGGTTTTTATGCTGTTGCTTACCAAAGCAGAGGGTGCAGAGGAGGGACTGGCCGAGTCAATCTCTCCAGCTACATCATGGATTTCTTGGGCTAACATGGCTAGATCTTTTGCCAAGTCTTGACTTATTCTGAAAAAGACAGAATGTTGCATTAGAAATCAAACATAGACATATATACATTTTTTGTCTATTGCTGTCTTTTGTAAAGAAATAGTAATTATGTTATGCATGTTCTTTAATTATGAAAAACAGTGTATCAAATAAATTCAGCAGTGACTGATTATTATTAATTATTATTATTATTTAATAGTGTAGCCTTATTTTTGCACACTATGCTATTGTTGTATGCAAAAGCTTAGGCAGCCTTGGTAACAAAAAAAAAGCTACTCTGCACATGCAGGGCTTTCATTAAACCCATTTTACATTTACATTTTATGTAATATGTAAAAATGTAAAATTACATCACAGAATAAAGAGGTAAAACTATTAGTCCCTTGCTGTTCAATCAATCAGTAAATCAACCTTTATTTAAACTCAGAGTACATTGAGGGAGAACCTCATTTATAATGTAGCTGAGCCAATACAGAAATCAGGGATTGAGAAGTTAAATTAAAGTAAATTAAAGTAAAAACATAACAAATGCTAACAAATAATAACAATCATAGTAGTAAATACAAAATTAAATCAATAAACCATTAAAATTACAACTAGATAGTAACTTAATAAATTAGAAAAAATAAGGTTAAATAAAAAATAGAATTAATAATAAGAGATGTAAAACAATAGCTTGGAAACATAAAACAAATAAGAACAGAATAATAAAAATGAAACAATAACTAAAAGCATAATCACTTTAAAACATAACTAAAATCAAGTAAAACAGTTGCAGGCTGTTTGGAGGTGGTTAGAGACTAAAAGTTTAAAATGTTCTTTGATACCAGTAAGCAAAGCTTTATGGTTTCCTGTAATAAACTCCAGCTCACTGGTGCACTGTAGCTAAAAGCAGATTCTCCTAGTTCAGTGCTCTCAGCACCTGAAGGTTAATCCAATCACTGGAACGAGTCTGGTAAAATGCATTATTTACACTGAGCATGTCTTTACAGATAAAAGAAGCCAGTGTATCTCCTGACGCACAGACAGAGATGACCAGCCAACGTTTTTATATAGTACACAGTGATGGGTGTTGTATGGGTCACCAGCAATGAATCTTAAAGCAGAGTGGTATACAGAGTCTAGAGATTTTGGAGTAGTTGCAGATGCATTTCTGTATATCACATCGCCATAATCCAGGGTAAACAATAGCATTGATTCAACAATCTTTTTCTTTGTGTGCATTGGGAAACACACTTTGTTTCGACACATGAAGCCAAGTTTTTGCCTCAGTTTACATATGAGCGCGTTAATATGGTGTTTAAAAGTACATTGATCGTCTAGCCATATGCCAAGGTATTTGTACTCACTAACTCTTTCAATGTCAGATCCCTTCAGGGTTGTGATTTTAAAAGCATTAAGATCAATGTTAGAGGCTCTGGAAAACAGCATAAATCTAAGACATTTAAGACATGTAAAGCTGATTGTAGGGCATTAAAAGAATGCTGCAGTTTACCCACTGTAGTGCCATTACAGTCAGCCGAGCAGTACAAAATGGTGTCATCAGCATATAAATGTACCTTGCAATCAACAATTAAGGTGGCAATGCCATTAATATAAATATTAAGTAGTACTGGTCGAACCTTTAGGGACCATTAGTTACCGGTAGTGGGTCTGATTTACTTTGTCCCAGGGTCACACACTGCTGTCTATTGGACTGATAATTTCTAAACCAGTTGGTAGCTATGTGGTCAAAATGAACATTTTGTAGACTTTTCAAAAGCAGAGAATTATCAACTGTCCCAAAGTCTTTAGAAAGATCACTAAAAATGACTGCACATTCTTTTTAATTTCTATGAAGAAATGTCTTGGGTTGATCATTCACTAAGGTTTCTAAGATTTTGGCTAAGCATAACAATTTGAAGATAGTTATCTAAATAGATCTATAGTCGTTGAGGTCTGAGACATCACCTCCTTTGTGAAATGGAATTACATTGCTGTTTTCCAGACACAGGGAATTCTGCTTGATAAAACAGATAAATTAAAAATGTATGTAATGTGTTCTAAAATAATCAGGGTTGCAAGCCTCAAAAATAAGGGGTCCAAGCTATCCGCTCCTGTAATTTTTGTTTAGTGTTGGTGGTGTTGAGGGCTTTGGCTACTAAGCAAGGAGAGAAAAGGTGAATTGAAAAAGGACCATGTCTTAATGCAGGGGATGTGTCTATTTCATTGAGAGGCGCTTCCATATTAGAACTATCAAATAAATGTCCAGGAGAGTGAATAATAAATACATGTCAAATTTCTCTCTGATCAGTAATCTGTTAATCATGAATTACAATATGAGTTGGAATATGCATTGATTTGTTTTTGAGCAAATTAACTGTCTTCCAGAATTTGAAGGAGACTGAGGCTGAATTTGTAAATAACTCAAGGTAAAATTCAGCTTCAGCTTTCCTGATGCAGGAAGTATACTCATTCCTTAGCTATCTGAAGGTAAGCCATTGGTCTCTGTCACCATTTCTTCTTGCAAGGGCCCATGCTTTTTTTCTTATATTGAGCAAGGAAGATATTTCAGAATTGAACCAGGGATTTGATCTATAAGGGGCATGCTTGTTTACCACCATCAGGAAAGTTTTGCAAAAATTGTCTAGCGCTAAATAAATATCTGGGATTTCAGAAGTGTCGTGGATGTCACTGAGTGCTAGATTGTTTAAAAAGCCTTGATCATTTAAATGTTTAAAATATCTTCTAACCACCATCTGACAGCCTGACTTTATTATGTTTGTGTTTCTAATGCATTTGATAGGGCAGTGGTCACTAAAACCAGGGTCAAATACACCTATAAGAGTATTTTTGGCAGGTCTGTTGGATAAAATTAAATCTATTAGTGTTGACATATTGGGGATTTCCACATACTTCCTTCAGGTGATTGGATGCATTAGTTAACCAGTTCAGATTAAGATCACCTAGGATTAGCATTTCTGAGTTGATGTATGGATTTAAAAGTTCAGCTAAATCATCTATGAGAGGGTGTGAAGGAGGTCTATAGATCCCTGCTACCACAAAGCTGTTATTGTGCCCTGTGTACACCTTTAAGGCTAAAAGCTCAAAATATTTTTCTTTAAAAAAAGAACTTTTACTTGAATAACAGATTTAATGTAAATAGCCACTCCTCGGCCCCTTGCATTCCTGTCAGCTCTGTATAGATTATAACCAGGTAGGGCTCCTTCTGAGTTGGATACAGATTGTTTTAACCAGGATTCAGTCAAAACTACGATATCTATGAAATCTAAATTTTCAGGTTATCCAACTTACTATGCTGAAGAAGACTCCTAATGTTTAAGTGAATCATGCCTTTGCATTTTCTGTGTTTGAAATTAATAGGATCTGTTAATAATTTCATTGCAAGCATAGATTTTGAGGTCTATGAGATGGTTTGGGAGCGAAGGTGTGACCAGGATGGCTTAATGCTGATAAGATCAGATGGGTTGATCAAATTTCTTATACGCTTCGTTCCCTTGTTTGAGTGGCTGATCCTAGGTCGAATGCTATTGACTACAGGGATAGCTAAGTACTCACTTTTAGTTTCAGGTAGTCATTTAAAGAATATGCAGGAAGAGGAATATGAAACCTGAATTCTGTTTTAAAGTGCAGTCTAGATTTAAAAACAAATTATGATGTTCTGAATAGAATCATTTGTACATACAGTAATATTTTTGGTTATCCAAAAGTGTACTGAAAAAAGACAATGACAAAAAATGCTTTTAATATGCAAATTGCAGAAGTGTACTCCTAAATAATGGACAAGATCAAGTATATTAATTGCTCTATATTCCAAATCAGCTTTTTTAATGATTAAGATTCTGGGGAAAATAAGTTATTCAAATGTTTTACCTGGCAATTTCCTCACTGTGGGCAGTCCAGTCTCTCATATACTCGTCCTGTTCTCTGCTTGACTGGTGTCTGAGCATGGATATGCCTCCTGGGCTGGGTGTGGCAGGAGCTGACCCCCCCAGCTGGATGACCCGTGAGGCTATTGTTCGTGGCTGTGTGCGTTTGGTTGGGTGACGGTTGGAGCCAAATTCGTCTTCTGAAGTAGACGCATACTCGACAGGCACATGCCGCCACCTCCCACCAGCTACAAAGATGGTATAAAGTAGAATGAGCAATATGTTAACTTACATACCACCTTAAATGTTTCTTGTTCTCTGTAATTCTTACCTGTAGTAGTGCCTTGAAGAAAGGATTTTCCTGCCAACTTATCCGGTACTTTGGAAGCGCTGCTGGCTCTAGCCCTGGGCACTGACAAGGAGTGGAAGCCCAGTCGTAGCGTACTGTCTGGACCTGGATGTGAGGCAAGCCTCTTGACCCGTCCTGATGTGGCTTCTGAGTCACTCCGTGCTGAAGGAGAGCTAACTCTTGGCCTCCGCGGCTGAGCCAGTGTCTCTATCCGGGACAGTGTCCTCCGTCCAGCTGAGGGTCTGGAGGCAGAGCTGGTAGTGGACGCCTCAGATGCAACAGACATCCGATCCATATCAGCTAGGTCTGTGTCACAAGAATCTCCAAGTCGAGCACGGCGAAGCAGGGAGGCACGAGTGGGCCTGGGCTGGCACATTGAAGCAGGTCTGGATACAGAATAGGCAGGAGCTGCTGTCTTTGATTTTGCTTCGTTGGCTCTGCTACTACTAGCCTCTGTTCTCAGTTTGACAGTTTTACCCCGACTATGATGCTGCACAGCATAAGTGTCTTGTGCAAGAGACGAGTTTAAGTCATCATCTGTCAAGTCGAGTGAAGCCCAAGCACGTGAATGTGAATGATTTGGTACACACGGATGAGACTTGACTTTTGTACCACTCATTATCTTGGATTTGTCACGTATTGGACCACTGCCTGAGCGTTTTGTCTGGGCCACCTTGTATCCTCCCTCTCCTCCAGCTTGACTCACAGTACTGGTGGTATCTATATCAGACTCTGGGGAAACTGAACCCTCCAAGGAGAAACTGGGTGTGTCTGTTTGGTCTGGAAGAGTGGTTTCCAGGAAGGCTATCACAGCTTCAGAGTCCTTTACCAAAGTGGCAGCACCAGTGCCTTTACTGATACTGCCTACTTCCATGTGATTTGTTGCACCAGGTCCATCAATGCATGGAATAAGTTCCACAGGCACATGGGCACTGGGTCTCTCCACAGTGAAGCTCTCCTGCCTCAGCAAAGGCTTTCCTGATGTCTTCTTGTCCTCTTCTCTGCTCTTTTCCTTCTTATCTTGATTTTTTTTGCCACCTCCTGGACTGGAGTGGGGTATCTGATCACTGAACTTAGGCTTTTGCCTTACCTCTTTGCTTTTGCTGGTAGTCCTCTTACTCACCCTAGTCCTGTCTATGGCTGATTGGGTATCTCCTGCCACTCTGTGTCTAGCTTTGGATACTCCATGGAGTTGGCCTTCTTTGTCCTGGAGTTCGTGATCCTGTTTTTTAGATAAAGCTGCCATGTATCTGTGCTGGGACTTCTGTCCCTCAGTGGCTACTGTGTCCATGTCAGAGTTTTCAGGTGAGTCTGGTGGGAAGGCCTGCTTATGCTGTGATTGACATGATGAGACAAGGGAGTTGAATTTTCTGGGAAGCTCTGCCTCACTATTACCTGTGGAACCATGATATAAAATTTCACTTTTTCAATAGTAATAATCATTTTACAATGTGTGTCTATAAACCACTACATGTACTTAGAGATGCAGACCTTTTTCACCAGTGCCAATCACAGTAGATTCAGCCCCAGAGCCCTCAGGGTCTGTCCGTATGTGACTTGCAGCTAGACTGGCCCACTGAGAGACCCACCTTGGACCTCCAACAACGACTAGGTCATCAGACAATAACTAGAATGGAACGGTCGCCATACAAAATTTAGCTAGAGAAAAAATTATCCTTTTCTCCCAAAAATTACATATTATACATTTGTTGTTGTGCTAAAATGATAAGATGCTAAAAATATCAATGCTATCATTATACAAATAAGGTCTGAAGTTTTTGTGAATGCTTAAAAAAATTGTTACACTGGTGTGGTCAATGTGTCTAGATTCTACGGCTCCAGGCTTTGTCCATACACTATCTTTGTCCCTCTGGTGCTCTGGGTAACGCAACCTTGTCAGGGCTTGGTTATCCTCCACCCTAAATACCTGTAACACAATACAAACACATTACAAATAGTTAATAGCCATTAGATAACACTGAAATATATTGGAAATGCAAACACTAGGGACACTTGCACTTTCAAACTGATCAGGTGAAAGTTATGATCCCTAATTCCTTTTACCTATTAAGTACATTTTATTCAGTGTACATGAAGAAAAGTTGAACAAATTGAGAACTGTGCATGTACTGTACATGTGCTATTGGGTGCATTGGTCCCATTGTGCCTTACAGTGTTCCATGCTATATAGAGTGTGTATGGCCCAAAAAAACCAAAAAGATTACTAAAACAGTTCACTGACAAATGAGATAAAAGGAGAATGACTTGAAATGTGCAGATTAATAAACAATCTAACAGACCTGGGCATAGACATTTTAAGAGGTCTGCATTGGCTGGTATAAATCCATTCCTACAATAACAATAAACTAAGTTTAGACAAAAGACTGAGAAATAACAGGAGATTTTGGCTAAGCAAAAGATTCAGAGGTGTGAAGAGAAAAGCAGCAGCAAGATCCTCAGCTGTAGGCAGGGCAGCAGTTACATTCTTGGCCACTGGCAGGGCGACTGCAGCAGCCAGCATGTTGCTGGTAGTCCAATACCAACATTCCTAAGCACAGGCAATATAGCAACAGCATCCTAGAATGCTGGCAAGGCCTTTGCCCTCAAAAATTTCCTTGTAGAGGGAATCATCTTCTTCGGCTGCAGGGGAAATGCATTTTCTATCAGAGTGTTTGGTGGCAGGTAGAGGTTTCCTCCTCAACCATGTCAGGAAAAGGAGGTTCACAAAGAGAAATCACAAGAAAATAATAAGAAACTAACAGAACACAAAGACAGAAATGGCAGACTGACTAAGCAATAAAGAAGAGAACAAAACAGATAAACAGCTGTCTAACAGAATGAGACCAGCAATGGTCTCATTTTGGTGGGGTGCAAATCCATAAAAGTTGGGACAGTGGGCCAGATTAAAATAAATAACAGCACTATGCCATGCAAAACATACAGCACAGTAAATAAAAACTATGGCGGTGATTAGCATCCCAATGTCTTTTTTTACTGCTGTGATATTTTCACCTTTGTCCTAGACAAGGGATAAGCAAAATTCAGATGTAAATGAGGTCATACATATTAAACAGCCACCAAATAAAGCTTGGCTGCCAAATAAAGGTTGGCTGCCAAACAAAATAAAAACAAAGAAACAAAGAAGACACTAGTTACAAATGTTACTGTACTTATGTGAGTAGTGGATGGCCACCAGGGGCAGTACTTGCTAAATGGATATTTACCTGCATATGCAGCTTCAGACCGAGAGGATGTATACCAAATGAGTCACACTGTAATCCCTGGATGTGATGTCACCAAGGATATATCATGCCATTACTCATGTAGGGACCTGGATCTTCTCACTTATTCTGAGTAATCAGGAACACTGGCAGTCATTCAATACTCAGATAACTCTGTTTTGTATCTACTGACAGCCAGGAGCTGAGTGGATGACTTGTGTCCACGCCATCACATGGAGTACATTAGATGCAGTCAGTGATGTGGGAGAGGACAGCCAGCGTCAGATTCAGTAACACTACCACGTTGCCCTTACAGAATCGAGAAAAAGTGCAGGGTGTAAACTACGCCGTTGCTGCACAAATGTCAATGAGCGGCCCAGGACATGGATGCTTACCTGCTGGAGTGGCCAGTAGCAGGCACAGGCAATGGATGGTTCAAAGCTGCCTAAGCCAGCTTAATCACCTCCTCCAGCCAATGTGAAAGACATTGCTTTGAGAGCTCCACTTTTAGATTCTGAAAAAGTATATAAACAGCTGGCTTGTCTTCTGCACTTTCACAGACACAGCACCCAGGCAAGGCGTAAAAGATTCTGGAGACAGAGAGGGCTGACTGATAATGTGTGTCGCTCACATACATGCTTCGCTGCAGCCACAGCAGGCAAAAGCATGGTTTTCAGTGACAGCCACTTGAGGGTGGCCGGTGCAGTGGGTTTGAATGGAGCACCGCCTATGTAGTCTATAGGGAGCTCCCAGGGTGGCGGCAGCCGGGTCGAACGGGGTGGGTGACATCTCTGTGCCCCTTTTAGGAAGGCCACAGTCAGCTTGTGGGAGCCCAGAGATGAGCCATTGCTTGAAGCCAGATGGCTAGAAAGAGCAGCAACATAGACTTTCGAAGTAGAGAGAGATCTGCATGTCTCACTGAAAGCACTGTCTCCACAGAGCATGAAAGTGGAGCTATTTGGTTCTTTGAACACCAGCTCACAAACAGCTGCCACTTTGCCTCATATAAGGCCCAGGCTGAAGGAGATTTAACATTCAGAATCATATTTCTGATGACAAGAGAGCACAATGATAGATGACAATGTCTAAAGTGGCCCTGGAGAAACTCCAGTCATGGATGCTATTCCTGGCCCCCAGCTAGGAGAGAAGGTCCTTCTGTACACAGAGCTCCCATGGAATGCCCTGTAATAAAGACATGAACAGAGGAAATCATAGCTATTTCAGCCACCATGGCGCTTCCAAGACAACCCATTGTTCTTCTCTCTGAACTCAGTCTGGGAGAGCTGGAATGCAAGGCAGGGGGAAACACATACAGCAGCTCCCTCAGCCAGTTGCAGGCCAGGGCATCCTGTCCCAGTGGAATGGTTCACAAACAGTCGCAGTGTTTGAGCATGGTCCTAAAGCATGTCAAACATGTGAAAGGGTAAAACCTTTAGAAACAAGTTTAACCACCAAAGATTAGCTGAAATTTCAGAATTACCTGAAAGCCTCCATCTTTCTTCAGAACAATGAAGTAAATTGAGTAAAAGCCTTCTGGCTGAACATGAGGGTCCACAATTTTCATTGCTCCTGTGGTCAGGAGGGACCTGACTTTCTAGGAGAGCATCAAGACATGAATTCTGTTCCGAACTACAACAACCTTTGGGAAGGCACTGAGAGGAGGCCAGCAGCAGATCTGCAGCCTGTCGACATGATGTTTAAGACACATTGGTCCATGACTGTCCTACTCCAATAGGTCATGTGTTGGGCCGACAGCAGCTCCATCAGTGGCTGTAGACTGAGAGTGACAGCCATAAGTGTCTGCACCCTGGAAAGAGGGACAGTGTGCCATGAATTAAGAAACATAGGCCAGTGGCTCAGGGTGGTGTGGACAGGATTTTGCACTGAAGCTTGGCCATAGCCCGGCGTCCTGGTACTAAGTGTTACCAGGGGGTGAGTGGAAGTTCATGTGCGGTGAAAGCAGTGCAGCACTTGTGAGGTCTCCCACCTAACCAACTCAGAAAAGGAAGAGCTGTGTTCAAAATCTTCCTTAACCACAGGGCTGAAGACATGGCCAAAATTAAAATCAGAGAGGAAATCATTGCCCTACACACATTTGAAAGCTTGGATGGCACCAGCCAGAGTTGGTGGTGGTCATGCACCAAATCTGCTACTAGTCTGCCATGACCCTGAGCCAGATAGCCAACTGACTAAAGGGCAACATTCAAGAGTGTGTTGGTTGCTTCGTCTGTGCTAAGGCCTTACAGAGAAGGATGAAGGGCCAAAGCTGAGAAAAGTCATTGAAAAATTTCACGTTCGACCCCAGAATAGAAAGCACATTTGTGGATCAAACCTATAAAATCCAAATCTACGCACAGCTCTGATCTAGCCTCCAGCTCACACTGAGCACCAAGCTTGTTATTAGGTTCTTTGAAAAAGGTTCTTAGCTGAACTAAGTGCCTCACGGAGGTGGTCTAAGGTGGTCTGAAGGACATAGACTGTGGTCATTGTCAGGGTCCAGTATGGGGAGATGTGGGTGCAGCTGCCCTGGTAAAACATGCTGTCTGGCTGTTACAAACTGCCAGCACCATGTTAGCGGTAGCGTGCTAATTTGCTGTAGTATGAGAATTTCAAATTCTAACATGGGAACTGGGGCTTCTGGAGCCTAGAGCTTGCCTGAAGGCTCCACTAGCCCAGTGGCTAAGCTCTATCCCCAACACTAAGCTCGTTCAAGGTGAGGGGATAGCGGCAGTCCTCAGCTGACTCTGCCTAGGCCAAGATGTTCAAGGTGAGGTTGGATGAGGGGCTGATGACAACTGCCCGTAATGGACAAAGGAGCCAGGGCTTCTGGAGCCTGAGATACTTATCAGAAGACTCTACTAGCCCAGTGGGCTAACACTAAGATCACTCAAGGTGAGGGGAGAGCTGGAATTCTTAGTGGCCTGAGCTTACACCGAAGTGCTCAACATGAGGTTGGATGAGGGGTCAATGACAACAGCCTGTAGATGACAAAAAAGTTTTGAAGCTCTGGCACTATAAAATGGTGTCACCAGGTTGTACAGTCTGTCTGATGATGAGAAGAGAAAAGAGGAATTTGCAGTCACGGGATGATATAGCCTCAGTGACTTCATGTGCAGGGGCCACAGTGTGACTCACTTGGTATACATCCCCTTGGTCTAAAACCGTATACATAGGGAAATCAGTCAGGAGATAAGAAATAACTAAAATTCTCAAAAACAGAGCTGCAATTTTAAGGGAAGAAGTTCTGTTCAACAATCAGTTGCTCAGTAAAGCTGCTTTTAACGTTTAATCAAGAAACAAAACATGTTTTCTAAAAAATTGTAAATTTGTATTTCTCTATTAAATAATTCAATAATAATAAAAATACTAGCAATATAGTAAAGAAGTAACATTATAATTGCAGTCATTGTTTTTAATAAGTTTAATGTTTAGTATGTTTATTGCAAATAGAAATTTAATTAACATGCTGAAATTCCAAATACTACAGCACACTGTTGTAGCTTTTATTTGCCATTTTTCTTGATCCCTGGAATTCTATTTACAGTCAATTAGTAAATATATAATTATTGTTATCAGGAGTTTGATTTGCACTTTTAAAGAATAAATAACATTGTACTAGTAAATATTACATTTTCACTAGTAAAAATTAAGATTTTACTTAAAATCACATTTTTTTTTTACGTGTAAAGTTAGTTCTTTCGAAAAA